CAGGCCGTCGACGTCACACGGTCGAAAGGCTTGTTTAATAAAACATCTACTGTATTTTACGAACCTCTAGTACCAAGTGGTATTCGTTCAAAAAAAAATTGTAAACTACTGTAGACAAGGTGTGAGTTTCCACTACCTAACCTAGCCGACCAGTATGAACCAACGACCAGTGCAGCAGCGTGTTCTATCGCAATCTAAGTGGTAGATTCTCTAGGCCCAGGCCCTAGCAACATTTACCTTCGATAAAAAACGAATTATTTTAATCGCTAGCTAGCATTCTTCCATTTAACAAAATATTGTTTTAATTTTCATTAAAACGTATGTATACTTTATGGACCTTTCTGTCTGTTTTGTAGTGTTTAGATCAGTCAATTGTTTTAGATCGCTCAATTGTGTTGTTTACATGCACTTCGCGAAAATCTAGCTTCGCGGTGTCAAATAAGTTGCTGACTTCCACACACTTTTTTTATTTCGTCATCGTAAACGTGTGCGCTCATTTTAACGACTGGCGTTGGTGGTAGTTCGTTGAAATTGAATTAATAGCGAGTATTATAGCAGAAATAGAAAAGATTGGATTGTCAATAAATAAATACAAAAAATCTGATTTTATTATTAAGAAAAATATACATTATCACTTTGAAAAACGTACGCAATCGTTATTACTTGGTCGATGATGCAAAGGGCAAAGGTCATTGGTAATATCAACTATTCGTAAAACGGACGTTTGCTGGGTGTTTACCCAAAAATATTACAAATAATTTCTGAAAACCAGACTAATGAGACTACTTCGATGCTGTTGTTAGCATTGTTGAAGTACGTTGTTGCCAACCAGAAGATGATAATGGTGGTACAATACAACCATGCTGGCTTAGATGCCTACGTTACGTAATCGTGTCCTTGTAATCCGAGCCGACTTTACCGTTAAGCAAGTTAATTTACCGTTATTCTAGTAAAGTTAAGTCACTTAACTTAAGTGACTTAATTCCTTTAACTAGCTATAATTGAGTGGTTCACGTCGAACTTTTAACTAGTTAAGTGGATGTATATCTAGATAAAAGTTTGATGTGAACCAAGCTTACAGTATGAGTATTTATACTCATTGATTAGTATAATTTATATAATGCATTTCCTTTACAGTTACGAAGTGCTTGGATGAACTCATATAATGGCTTTTAGGGCCAGTTTCTACTGGCAAAAAAGAAGAATTCCTAGGTTATTGTGTAAATCAGCAACCATGTTACAGTGGTTACAATGTGATTTAATGGTACAGTAACTGTTGTCATTGTTTACAGTGTGATTCAGTGGTTGTACAGTACAGTAGGTATCATTACTGTGTGATTCTGTGGTCACGGTATCTATTATTGTTACAGGTGTGATTCAGTGGTTATTGGTACTTCCTCATTGTTATACCCTATTCGGACTAGCATCGCATTGCAATCGGTTGTACAGAGCAATTGTAAAACCCAATCGCAATTCACTAAATCATGTGTGAAAGCTCACCAAATAGTAGTTGATAAATAATCGATGTCACAACTATTACCAGTTGTGGCGCCAGCGGGGCAGGGGGCTTAAGGCCCCCATCAGACATGATTTAGTGGTCACAAGTATCTGTTACAGGTGTGATTCAGTGTTTGCAAAAAAGGAAATGTAGTTACAAAGCTACAGTACATGTATGACTTACCATTTGGTTTAATCCCAGTTTAATACAAACCATGGTCAAAGATGACTACAGTACAAAGACATTCATTCCAAAGAAAATGCAAAAAATTACAGCATGCTTCACATTTTCTGCATTTAAAAACTACAATCTTACCTTGGTTTTCTGGTAGACTAGATAGATCCTGAGGTTGTACTGGCAGGTAACAATTTGGCCGATTTGTTTGCTCACTAATTTCCAGAATCTTTGCACTAGGAATATCAGGCAGTGGACGAGCAGGATAAACTTGTGATGATAGTCTTTTTCCATCTCTAATAACACTGGGTCGCTTAAATTTAAAAATTTGGGAAAAACGTGTTTTGAAAGGCATTGTTGATGATTTTATTGAATCTTTGGAATCAGATGTTAAACCTGGTGGTCTTGGCAAAGATCTAGTTTTCCTTGTTGAAGACTTATCTGAACCTCCTAAAAAATGTTCCATAGTGACATGCGTTTCATCATCACTATCAAGATCATCAATATCTTGCAACATATCAAAATCATCAAGAAACGATCTAGGTGGCAAAGGAGGAGGTGGTGATGGTGGTACCACAAGAATAGGACAGCCTACTGCACCCTGGCAACTTTGCACTCGTGTCAACGGAGGCTTGGTCCTACGATCCACTTTCGGAGGTACATCTAAATGCATGTGTTCTGTTTTCATTTGATCAGATTTTTTCCGATCATCGAACGAGAGACCATTAGCATTCGCTGCAGCATTGTCCATGTTTTTGTAACTTGCTGCTCCGAGGCAATTTTCTATGTCACCACAAACCATATTGCCTTTTTCTAGACAATCTATGACCTCAAATTTACTCTGCAGTTCTTTTTCAAGCCTTACATCCTCTTCCGTTAAAATTTCAGCAATGAAGGGTGTGTTGGTGTTCTTTTCATCAACATCGCCTCGTGAAGAACGTTTGATCAAAATCGGCGAAACATCACCAGTATTTTTATAATTTACTTCCTTGTGTTTACATATTAATTCATTTGTTATCTCTTTTGTACTAGTTTCACATTCCATTTCCGGTGTAATACACTCAGTTGAAAGTTTATCACATGTTTCTTTTGTAACTTGGGGCAAGTCATTAGGGTCATTATCAACTTTATCATGGCATAAGATCGCAGTACTACGCTGACAACTTATTGCACTTTGTGTGTAGTTTGTGATTGAAGTTGCAGGACAAAGCTGTTGAGGTTCATTTTCAGTAACTTTGGAAAGACCTTGGACCCATGCTTTAGATGGGTTTAATTCTTGTTGTTGTGAGGTGTCTAATGTTGATGTGTACAAATTCTCTGTGGCTGAATTTGCATGAATTTGGACAGGTGATTTTCCTTTCGGTCGTGCTCCTTGTTTTTCATAATCTGCCTCGTTCTCATTTGCATCTTTCTCACCAGGTGTATTGATTGCACCATAATGAGATATTACCATGTGTCTTTTCTCTAATGCATCTTCATCATCATTTGCCGTCGCATATATCTCAGATGAATCACACGTCATCTCATTAACATTCATGTACTCACCATTTATCTTAGATGAGCTTTCACCATTCATTAAAGCTAAATTATTTGCAACAGTAGTGTCTGTATCCAAGTCTTTTCTACAGGGTGCTAACGTTTTAATTATCACTCGCTGATCATCATCAAATGATGAAAGCATTGTTTTTGAATAATAGATTGGTTTATCATTCCTTGTCCTGCCAATCGTCCGCCGGATTCTTTTAAGAAAGCCATTGCTAGCTCTTGCGTCCGATGCTCCAGAAAAGTTAATTGATTTCTTTGATGCAAACATCTTTCTGCTGTTTAATAACTGAAACCTGTCAAAAAAATAATAAAACTTTAACAATGAGTCATTAGAAAGTCACAACATTTGAATACAGTTTCTATTTCATTTATCCATAATGTATAGTGTGCTACAAAAACTGATGGGCTGAAAGCTTCAAAAGAGCTTTCTTTGTTTTTGTAGGTACAGTAGCTTTGATCAGTAGGGTAAGAAAGCTTTGACCTTTAGTTTATTCATAGCTATGTCACCTACTATAGGGTAATGTTTTGATTGGTCAAACACTTTTGGTACTGGATAATTTTTTATTCTTGATGATGATATAATTAATGTCAAAATATTGAATCCCGACACGATGTGGTGCATTTCAATACTTGGAGTATGTATTTACTATCTTTCTGAAATTAATCAGTCGCCCTTTCGGTTTCTACAAAAACTGATTATCAAATATTTACACAGTGTAATCATAGCATCCCTGGAATAAAATTTAGTTTTGGGTACCATGCCATTTTACATAGAGGATAGTAACCATTACATTGATATGACAACTAAACTTTCTTTAGATCAGATATTTTACTTTTCCCAAGCATACCGTATATTCTCGCATAATAGGCAATCCATGTATAAGTTGATTCGCATGTAAGTTTGAAAAGATTAGTGGATTTTTTTTTGTATGTCAGGCATATACTGTAAGACGACCCCCTGTTATACCGTTGGAATTCCTGCTTTTTCCTGTTCTTTATGGTCTTGATACTGCATCTGGCTTCTAAAAACAGATCCAAATTTAAGGCTAATTTTCCAAATAAAAACTATTTTATGGACTTTTAAATGTTCAACAAAATCTTATTTTCCAGCATTTAAAATTGTATTTATTCATACTAAAAAAAGCAAGCAAGTCATCAACAGGGCAGGCAGTCAGCTTTCCCACAGTTTCATCCCAGTTTTACTGAATTAAAAAAAAATATATCTTGTAGCCCTTTCTAATTATTTCTTTAAATACCCATTCAATGGGTGTGTTTCTACTGATAAACACAAAATAATTGATTTTTTTAAACCGCTTTTTAAATGAGTACCAGACAGCCTGCTGGCGTTGCAATTGAATTTTTGATTTTTCGAAAATCAGACGGAAATTATGTCATCATTTTGTTTATACAACACGTTGTTTGTTGGCGTTCTAATAGTACCAGTTACCCACTTACACTCCTGGGTGAAAAGAAGCAATGCAGGTTATATAGTGCCTTTCTCAAGGACACAAGCAAAATGCATAGTGAAGGATTTAAACCCTGACCTTGAGGTTGGTAAACCAAAATGTACCCAGTGGTAGATCCAGGAATTCACAATAGAGGGGGCCCAGGGACTCGGGAGGTACTTTTACAAATGGAGGATGTATACCACCTGAGCCCCACCATGGTTGGGGATGAGGTAGAAAATAACTGAAATTTTAAAATTTAGTGGCAAATTGGGGAAGGGGGTCACACATGCCCTCTCCCCCCCTATTGGATTTGAGCCTGGAAATTTAAAATTGCGATGGTATTTATTAAAAGTAACTTTGTATCCATATCTTTATGCACACTGCACTGGACCTCAATGTTAAGTAAAGCGTGCCAGGCACGGATGGAATTGCGAATGTTGTGTAAGAAACAGATCATCATACCAGAGAGCCAGAAGCCACAATTATTATTATTATTGTTATTATTATTATTATTATTGTTATTTTAATTATTGTAGTTTTACTGTTATTAGTTATAATGGGTATTTATTTATATTTAATATAAGCCTGGAATTAAGAAATTAAATAGTAATAAAATAAATAAAATACTAAGCGTTTCAATAAATATTACTCATGTGACACGTTAGCATTGGGCCACATGTTTACCAATAGCAAGGTAACATATGATCTTGACCTGACAGTTAAGTATATTTAATCTACTTTTGACTGAGGGGTAGATTGGTAATCGAGATGTCAAATTTGTTCCAGTCATTTATTGTTTGTGGGAATAATGAACATTTTTGAGAGCAGCTTAGCTCAGTTGGCTAAACTGGAGATCCTTTAGTTCCCGGTTCAATCCCATCTGCTGCTGTCCATATGTTTCAGCTAGCAGGCTGAAATGGATTTAAAAAAAAAAAATCACTTTTTTTTGGTCCTGCATGCAAAATGGCTCACATGCATGTTAAAGAACAAGGTACCTGTACACTCATTCGAAAGAGTAGGTTTGTTTACCGGTGTACTGCCCAATCAAGACAATAAGGACTCCACTGGCCTTCAGACTTCTATGGGTTATCCTTCGTATACTCACCGGAAGATGAAGAATGTTCACAACAAATAAATCCAAATTAATTCCACCATATACAGTAACTTATAGTGGTGGTGTCGCTAGGTCATTGTATTCAAAACACAGTCAAGTCAGGATTTTCTTCAACAAAAACAAAAAATATCTCAACTCCCTAATTCTAGAGCATCATAACATTTCATTTTAAAAATGTACTGTAGAAATAACTTGCCTAACAATAAAGTCAGTTTATAATATATAATTTACAATCTGTACGTAAAGTGTACTGATACCAAAACAGGTTTACAAGTTGGAACTTTTTAATGAATTCTAAAAATATTATAGTTATAGTAAAGTATCAGGTTTTAGCCACTTGTCAGGTTAGGTTTGGAACTATACAAGTTTTGACTAAAGTTGTGTAACTATTAGGAGTAGGCCTACAGTACTTTCTGACTACTGTATACTTTAAAGATGGTATACAGTAGAACTAAACAGTATCCTAAAATTGGAATGTATATAGATCAAGAATGACTATGATTCATGAAGGGTTCTGACAAATCATAATTTTCTCAGGGTATTGCATAATACTGTATGCAATGAATCCTATTATTATCATGTGCTTTTAGAAGATTCATTGTGTATTATGCAATATCATGGATCAGTTGGAGAGTATATGAACGGTAATCAGATGGTCTTGATTTCAAATCTAAATGGGGACAATACATTTTTCTAAAAAAATTATCATCATCAATAAAAGATGATATACAGTACCATGAGTTCTGATCAATTTACTATACAGGAAACTCTACAAAACATGGCTAGGCAAAACCTTTTTATACATATACCTTGATTTGCCCACAGATAATAATTATTTCAAACACATACACTTTTTTTTGTCCAGTCCAGCGATGGAAAAAGTGCACGGAAGCATTTTTGGGGAAAAATAATTTTAAAAAAAAACTATTGATTATTTTACAGATAACATTTGGTGCTGGAGACATTTTAGAGACAATTTTCATGGTCGAAGGCACAAATATTTTTTTTTTCAGGCTTGGTCTTATCAGTGTACATGTCACCATGACAAATTTTCAATTCTGAAAAATCAAATTATTTTCTTTTTTTTTATCTCAACTGTTAGTGCCAAGATTACATGATAAAAATATAAAGTATTATGCATTTTAGGCCAAATACTGAAAATATAGATCATATCAAAAAAAGGTACTGTACAGTGTAAAAATCTCCCCTAGTTACAATGATTTCCAAACAATAATACTACAGTATGAACTCTATCACTGAATACTTTGATGCAAGTTTAGGGCTATATATAGAGTAGAGGGACTATTTTCTCAGCATTGTACCTAATACTATCCAGGACTTTTTTGATCATCATGCAACTCTCTACTACTTTATGTATATCTGCATAGACTGTCATTAAAGAATAAATTATGTTCCAATGTTCACTGAATATCTCTATCTTAAATTTCCATGTAATGTACCATGAAACAGAGTTTCAGGTAATATTAAATGAATTATTCCTGGATACAGTTGTAGTACAGTACTATAGGCCTACAACTGAACTAAATTATTACTCCACCATAAGTACTTGAACGGCTATATTTCTGAGGAACTGCACTTCCGAAGCTCCACAGAAACCAAGCTAAATTTTTTCTGGGCAATTATTAAGTCCTGAGCTCTATCCATTCCTACAGTAGATACTATTTTGTTTTATTTTATTATTTTTAGCATTTCAGTTTCACTTTCACATTCTTTATTTTTTTAGTACAATATTTGAAATGAAAATTTATAAATTTATATTTTTTCAATATCTCAATTTCAATTTATAATTTCTGCTATTGTTTTATATATCTTTACTTCTAATTTTAGGTTAAATAAATAAATAAAAGTCTTGAAAACAGTACATCAAATTTAGGAATTATCTTTAGCAATTTTACCTTAATCCATACCATATATTGGTTTCATGAAAAGGGTTAGACAGTAATTATTATCTAATGAGGAACAATTACTGAATCTGAATCCTGAAAACCTCATGAAACAACTATTACTAAGGGTATGTTCACACACACACACACACACAACGCAAGGCTGGCATAAGCCTGGCGTAGCATACGCCTTTGTGTGTGAACTAGTCATACTTACACCACTCACGCCACGGTTATTAACGCTACATGCAGACCCCAGATTAGTTATGCTTTAATAGTTTGACCTCATTTCAAGAGATTGACCAATTACAAGTGCAATAGATTAGATAATTTGACCCCTTTCCTATGCTCTCTATAAATGAAATGGTAAAGGGACTCTGTTTCTATTGCATTTCACTTAGTTGATGATTGTGTTTTGTAAGATAATTTAACCTATTAGACTATCTATTAAAACCTACAACACCAACTATTGTTTCACAATGCTAGCTGAAAAATCAGAAGTAAAATTGTTTAAAATACAGTAATCATATAAGTTCACTTCCAACAATTCACAGATTTAAAAGTTTTAATGATGCACTGTAATCCGAACATTATTTAAAACTGAAAACTATTCCCCCATAGGCCTATATTACTACTAGTTTAACACCAGCGTTAATATAGCGAATGCCGTTTGTGTGAACACTTTGGAATTCCGTGGATTAGCTTACACCAGAACATACAGTACCTAATAGAATTACTGAATTATTTCTGAGTATTTGTAGCCACTTCGGAACTAATGAATTCTAAGTAATACAGCTGTAATCCTTTTGATGTCAAGGCCTACATAA